TTAGGCGTGCGCAGCGTTATAGAACAGTGCTTTCAAAAAAATGTTCTACAGCGCCATCTAGTGGCGAGTTACAGAAAAATTGATAGTCTAGAAACCTTCTCTATGAAGATTTACTTATACATGTCAAGTTTCATCACGATCGGTTGAGCGATGTAGAAGTTTATCACTTACCAACCAACCAACAAACATCCATTTTTATATATTAGACTAGTTGTTCCCCGCGGCTTCGCCCGCGTAGAATTTGGTAGTTGTAGCACTAATTAGTACTATGTTGCTGTATCGCGGCTGTTCCAATGTTTTGACAGAATCAGAATCAACGAACTTAGGCGTGCGCAGCGTTATAGAACAGTGCTTTCAAAAAATTGTTCTACAGCGCCATCTAGTGGCGAGTTACATAAAAACTGATGGCCTAAAAACCTCTATGAAAAATTACTTATACATGTCATGTTTCATCACGATCTATTGAGCCACCAACCAACCAACCAACAAACATCCATTTTTATATATTATATTAGACAATGGAAGTCCGAACTGATGAAATGCACCACGAAACTTTGTCAACCACCTTCAAACAAACTCGTTATAAATAATTCTTTCAAAGATATAGCAAGCAGGAAAAGTGTTCGGTTGAATTTCACCGCTAAGAATAACTGCGGTTGAGATGACTCGTTCAAGTAATTTTGCTAACAGAATAGTAGGTACCTATTCACTGGGCAGTAGGTCGGTGTAGTTTGTGTCATTGAACGAAATAAAATACCTGTTGAGAAAGTGTTTTTAAAAGAATTTTTGAAAAGGATTACCAAGATTTCATCATACGCAGACAATCCAATTGTTGATGAACCCCACATTAATCACAGTTTTAATAAAGTTTTTTCAAAAGTGACACATTTTACTTTTTCTAAAAAATCGTTGTGCACAGTTTCTGGTGCATCAAAATGTCTTGAATACTGAAATGAAAATTCACAAGCTATGATGGCTTTGAAAAGTGATAATGTATACTTACTAAATATATTGATATCTCCCCGAGCCACCTGGGAGCATCATGACTCTTCGCAGTCCGTCAGCCATGTAACGTTGCAGAATAACCCCAACTAGATACATTCTCTCGAGAAAAATATCTGGTCGAGGTTGGGATCGAACTCACGGCCCTCCAGTCGTGAGTCGGGCGTACTACCACTGCACCAATTCACAGCTAATAAAGACGATATTATTATTATTATTATACAACGTTCACTAACAAATGTGATTAGGTATTCACTCAACTTGGTCAGCTTCCAACAGTCCCCGCCCTTTCTAAGTTTTCAAAAATCTTAAACCTGAGGGCAATATGCAATTAACACATAGGATGAATAGATAACAAAATTTTAATTTAGTTTGAGTTATTTTTTTATATTTTTGATACATGATCAGTACCTCTCAGTACATGTTTCGAGTATATGACCACGCTTCATAACTGAAACAATAGTTGAATTCTAAAATATATTTTTTACAAATAGAAAATGATAAATTTTACCCTATAGTTGACATATCGTATATTAGTCTTCTCTTTTAAAAATATATATAGAGAAAACAAAATGGTTTGTAACTTTATTTAATAATTGATATATAAGACAACATGCACCATTACAAATAATGAAAATCATCGGAATATAATGGAAGCAGTAATAATTGGTTATCATCAAAGGAGCTCTTGCAATGTCATACTCGTGTAATCTTCGTTTAGTATACCTTGAATATCATCAAACGAAACATATCGGCAGTCATCAACAAAACTATCCGATTCGTTAATGATTACAGGTAAACTTTCATCAGCATTAGAAGAACTTTCATTGGAAGAAATAATCTCTCTATATGAAAGATCATTCAAATATTTTTGTGGCTGTGTTTTCCCTTCGTCAGTTTTTTTTTCAGTTACTTTGTCAGGTCTTGCGATTTGACTTGCTGTTGGTGCAACTTCTACAGGACTATCTGCCTCTACAACTTTTGACCTCTTCCAACGTGTGGTCTTTTCTAATTTTGAAATTTTGCTTTTCACTTGTTTCTGACTAATCATTTCAGTTTCCAAAGTGACAGGCATCTTCCTGTCGACAGAATTTGTTTTTGATGTATCAGTCGGGATATTAGAAGACGAAAGAACTTGTTGTTTTGCGCTTCCCTTATCGTCATTTGTGTAGCTATTACGAGGATTAGAGTTTGATGAATATGGTTGCTTAGTGTACAGCTCATTTTGTATTTTTGTCCTTTTTTCAGAGTTCGACGGCTCCCCTTCCATAGACCTCAAACATTTTCTGCAGTATCTGACATGTTTTCTGCAAAAACCTTTACAAAGTTCACACCTATATCGATTACCACGTTTTCCCAAAAATGCCTTTTTTTCTGCCATTATTTTAACTTTAGGATGATTTTTCTTTATGCCATTTCTCTGTCTGAATGCTACACATCTTTTGCAGAATTTGCTAGTTTTTGAACAAAAACCATAACATTCGGGACATCTAAATAAACCATTGACAGCTTCTGGTTTGAATCCCTTACATTTTTTGCGTGACATTTCATTTGCTGAAGTGAAGGATCCACCTCTCAGAGATTTCTTCACTGACTTTTTCCTTCTACTTTTCTGAGTTTCATTCGATCCTACATTTTTCGTCTGAATAGTATGTGTTGATAGTATTGTGATATTTTTCAGTGAATCGTATGATTTTGTACCGAACCCTAAAAAAGGTAATATACGTTAGAGTTCTCAAAAATGAATAGGAACTCATGTAGAACACAGTGGCATCTGCCACTATTATGACAGATTAGAAGTTTATTGCATTCATTGCATAACCTAAGAATATATGATTATAGAGAATGTACATTTTTCTTATGAGTATAAATAAAATTTCAGGAACAAAACTAGTCATAGTTAACGTTAAAAATGGGTCTAAGTGGCAAGTTGGTTTTGATATAGAAATCGTGAAAGTAAGTTGAAGGGAAATAAAGACAGACATGACGTAAACATTTTATTAATCCAAGAAACGTTTTTCGTTTAAAGTAACTGTATTTTTCACCATTTTCAACGTGTGAACTGGACTATATACCACAATACAATAATTCAGAGATATTCACAATCAGTAAACAACCATAATCACTGCTAATCAAAGGAATTTAATGCACCGTTTGAGTATAGCAATTTTGCCTAGAGTTGTAAAAGCGGCAGAGTGAAACGTCAAGTTGCCGTCTTCATCTCCTGAAGAAGCCAACAACGCGCGTTGAGAAGAGTATTGCATTTCTGGTGATGGAAAAGGTGCTTGTTTTGGTTCCAGTTTCAGCTTTTATTAATGAATATTTTGTATCATAGTTTGTTCTAATATAGTTGCATTAGCCGACAATATTTAGAGAAATAACCTTCAACAAAACCAGTTAATTAAAAAATTTCTGAAATAAATACGTATTTTTTTTAACATAAACAGTTCTTCTTGAGCAATATCAATCGAGCAACCAGCAATGGTTTTATCAGTCTTGTTGCTCTCATGGTATTGCTAAACAACAAAGTTTTCACTAAAAAAAACAGAACTTATTAATACCAGTTTGGTCTTTCGTATTACTTTCGACAAATCGCTCAGAGAAAGTCGAACCCTCAGCTAAAATTTTTATTTTTTACAGCTATTGTTAATAAATTTACTATAAACAAATACATTGTTTATAAGCAATTCGATTTTTTTTTGTATTATCATTATGATTGTATTATCATGATTTTNAAAAATTATTTTCGTTCGTAACAACTTCACCCTTTCAAGGCAAGTTTCGAATATAAACTGAAGCTTTATATTTAATGAATAAACACCTCAGGAACCTCCGCCTATGATTTTACCAGTTTTACGACCGTTTTATGACTTGGGCCCTCATTTCGTGCTATCGACAAATTATGAACGGACTATAGGCAAAAATACGAATCGAATGACACCTTGGTCGTAATTTTTTAACAGGGCTGAAAAATGTCACCAAAAAGAGATAAATCGAGTACATGTGAACCAGACTAATAGTTTACAAGTCACGCGAACAAAATAATAATTCCTGACGAGCATTTTGAAAATGAAAATATTCAAGAAAGTTCGATGTACTTAGGTGTAACAAACACTAGTGAAGTCAAAAAAATCATGGGTTTAAAACAAAAAACAAAACACCTGGGTACGGTAATTCACGAGTAGCAACTTTGAAAAATATATCCGATGAGATAAAAATTCACCTGACCTATTTGTTTAACTGCTGTTTTGATACGGTTTACGTCACAAAAGCGCTGAAGGTTGGACTAGTGAAGCCACTATTCAAAAATTGAGATAAATTACAAATGAAAAATTTTCCTCATTTCTAACATTACGAAAATCATAGAAAAAAATTATTAAAATCAGAATGTCTAGATTTTATAAACAATTTAATTAAATTTCCGATTATCAATATGAGTTTAAAGAGGGAAAATCAAGGGATCTTGCAATTTACTAAATCACAACTCATACAGCGTGTTTCATTTTAAAGATACAAAAATTACTCATAAGTAAAATATAAAAACGCCTTTTGTGTAAAAAGCAGAAGAGATAGGTATAGGGAACCCTATTATAGTTTTGAAAGGAATCTACTCCTGCGTCAAATTACGCCACTAAATACGAGGTGTTCCATTCAACTTTAAGAATTTATATATTTAAAATTGTATCTGTAACTGTTACACCTCTCGAAGCGAAGCAGTAACTCGTCTTGATAATGCCATCTGAGATGATGGCGAAACGTCGACTATCGAATAGTACACAACGGATGAACACCCGGAAGAACAACATAATACATTAGTCCTTCAAATTTATTTTTCTACATTCATGCAAAAAAATTAATTCAAATTTAGTGGATAAAGTAGTTTTCCTTTTTGCTCTAATGTAGTATTATGATATATTAAATTGTAGATTTACCAATTTCATCATTTATGGAACAGAGTTTGAGTTAAATTATTCTATCTAAATTTCTCATTTTCTTAATAAAAAATAAAAACCGTATCATGTACAACTATAAACAATATTAAAAAAAGTTGTTACACCTATAAACAATTTATTACTTATATATATTTTTGATTATTAAACGTTTATTATAAAAGATGGAACAAAAAGTTATGGAAACATTTTTTAGATAATATCATTATCTAAAACAAAGTTCATTACAGAATTTTTGTGGGAGTTACTGATGAAACCTCTTACTTTCAAAAAGTGCAAAATAGCCCGCCCTATCATCCAGAAAAGAAAAATTTTTACTTAGTATTAATCCATTTATGTTAAGTATTCTATCCTATATACAAATAATATTTTAATACGGGATTTACATTACGGGATTTGATTTCAATTCAAAAGTGCAGTACCGAATCAATTCAGAGTCACCACTGTTACGTGACGAGACCACGTGACGTGTCTAACAAAATCGCAAAAGTAAGTAATCCTGTATGTCCATAATCGTTGAGCTACATACATCAAAATATTGATATTGATACAATATTATTTGTTTTCAATCTGTTTTTCCGTTATTTAGCTATCGCCAACGTGTGATTCCTAACACGGTATATTGATATAATATTGATATATATTGATATAATATTTTTTTCTTAGTCAGCCAACAATGACCTTTGCCTAGTAGATGAGAAAAACATTAATACAAAAGGTACAAGAATCAAAATCAATTTGAAATACCTGATAAATTTCTTTTGAATTTTTGAAAATTCATTTGCGATATAGATAACAAAATTTATTCCAATGGATATGCTAAAAATAAAAACTGATCAACAATATTTAATGAAGTCAGGAAAACTCTCAAATTAACTACTGCTACATCCCTCCGATGAACTGACAAGTTTTGTATTAGAAATGAGAAAAAATTTAAGACTCCAACAAAAGAATAAAAGGCTAAATTGTACCTACTTAATGGTCATTGGCGGGTCCTGACGACCCGCCAATGACCAGAAGTTGTAGCATTTAAGACAAAGAAAAATTAGTATTATTCATTTTCAATGCATTAGTGCTATCTATTTTGCCAAAAAAACCTAATATGTCCATCAAGATACAACTTACTTTTCATTCACAAAAGCTGATATTTACAATACATTGTTTTCACTCACTTTCCTACACAAGCAGAATCAACCCACTTCACAATAATCATTTAAGATTTTCGTAAAGAATTTGCACCTCTTTCCCCCAAAATGGAAAAAGTTGTTTGTGCATGTTTATTTTCTAAGGTGAAAACTTCATATCATAAGTTAGGTTAGGTTACCGTTCCCGGTCTAAAACACAAACACAATAAAATATTAAATCTACTTGTTATACACTGAGCACTTCACATTTTATCAAATTTATCAGTCAACTGATTTGATTACATATTCCCAAAGTAAAATTGAACGAAAACTATCACAACCACTTCCTATAATTGTGTTGTAAACAATAATACACCAGATCAGCTGCTTCCCGCCTTGAAAATCGACAGTGACGTCACTTCAAAAGCATGGTGTGGTGACTTACTTGGAATATGAATGAACCAGTGATGCCAGATCTACTAGGAATGTTCAGGGTTCGGTAAAATTTTAATGAAATGAATACTTGGACGTTTAAGGAAACTTATGGTGGAAAGTGTTTTGTGTTATTGAATGTGATTAAAAAATGATAGCATGTAAATACACCAAATAATTACACTGAAGTTGAATCCGACTATAAGCAAATGATTTCAAAAACTACACCTCACGATTTGATCTCCACAAAGTTTGTTACAAATTATGCAATGTAGCAGTACTGACACAAATGTTATTTATAATACTATCAAAAGTGATTGCGGATACATATTCTCTCTCTCTCTCTATTTTAAATGGTCGTTGCTTCCTATCTTCAGGCGCATATGACCAATGCTCCTCCTGTTGGTTAACAGGAGCTTCGTCGGGGGGCGCAGCGGTCTTGCATAAAGCAATGCTGCCACCCATTTTTTTCTAACTTTATATATAAAAAACACTAGTTTTTTTTAACATAAAAACAATTTCATTTTTTGAAGTCGCCTCCTACTTGGGAGACCTTTTGGTAATTTTTCACATAAATAGCCCCCTTTACGTGGTTATCCGAACCACCCCGGCCTGGATACCGGCGTGAATAAAGGGGGCCACTTATTCATCACTTTTTCAGACACTCCACATTTCAATTTTAATACAACACAACACAAAACGGAGCCCCACGATAGCACATGGCATCCGCGTACCTTCTTTGTGGACGAACGTTATCAGCACGTCCGTCCACTACCACGGCCACCACGGAACTCCTGGATACATATTCAATGGTGAACGTAGCATAACATTTATGCGTGATGCTTCGCAATGAAATTTCAGATTGTGTCGACCTTCACTTCTTGGTAGGTACTATGAAATCAGCAGTCATGTTCCTCATATATATATATGTTGTTAATATTAATATACTGTCGTATGTTATACCAAGATATTTTATCTCGTGTACGCGGTTGATTGTAGTATTGTTGATTGAATAATCGTACATTAAAGTTCACTTTTTTGTTGTAAATGATATTATTTTACATTTGGATACGTTCAGTTGTAGACGATTATTATCACACCAAAGTTTGATTACATCTAATTCATGTTGTACACGTTGACAGTCAGTAAATTCGTCGATTTTATAATATAGTTTCAGGTCGTCAAATAGTAGGCTAGGAATATTCAAAGAGGTTGCCAAATCATTAATAGAAATTAAAAATAATATAGGTCCAAGATTAGAACCTTATAATACCCCAGATGTAACTACGTACTGAGCCAATTTGAAAGATTCATATTCGACGAATTGTTTTTTGTTAGCTAGATATGATTCAATTAGAGTAAGCAGTTGGTTAGAGAGTCCCAATTTTGTCAATTTGCTGAGAAGAACATAATGGCCTATTTGATCGAAGGCTTCTTGAAAGTCTAAATAAACAACATCGACTTATTTTTGCTTGTCCAGGTAGGTACAGGTACGCACGTGGATCTCAACAATTCAGGGAAAAAAACTGAAATATGACTGTATTTAAAAATGAATGTATGATAAATGTATGTATTAGTGAATATTCGCTCCAGAAACTTTGAAGAAAGTCGTGAAGATCTGAGACTGTATAGAAAATTAGTCATAAAAAAACAGCTTGATGACACATTCATTTTATCCTCTAATATAAGATCTTCAATAATTGAATTGGTAAGTACTTGAGAAGGAAAGAACACAATCACTGTTATATTGATATCATTTTACGAAAAATTACAGTATTTGATTAAAAATATCGGAATATCCATATCAGGACAAATAGTCAATCGCTTTTTCATCATCTCTTATGGAGTATTTTGTGTATCAAACCTGGCCTCTATGGGACCTATCCTCAATTATTTTCTGCATTATTTTTCCTCATAGTTGAATAACTCTATTGTATGTGTTTTTGATTCAGTGACGAAGGCTGAACTATAAAAACATATAATTTTCAGTGTTCATAAAAAAATAGCTACTCTAAAATATTTTTTTCAGTGCAATTTGATATTTATATGAAAATAGTTGTTCCCAGAGGGTTTTTTCTTTCAGTTTATGTCTGAAAGTTGCTTCTTTGCATGATCTACACATCTTTGTAGATAGTTTATTTCAAAATTGATTGATTCCTTTTTTTCTTCGAAAGATTCCCACATTTTTTGTATAAAGATGGCGAAGGAGAAACACAAAAACCTATATTTCTCAAAAATCGAATCGAATCAAATCAAATTTATTTTTAGGATAATATACAATATACAATCTGTATGACGTAAATAATTATCAGATTTCAATTATCTTGAATTAGTAACTGTCACCTAATAGGCATCGAAATGGATTTGACATATTGTTTGTCCAATATTTGGCACTATAAACATGCATCATCGATCCTGAAAGGACGATGAAATAGTATCGAGATTATAAAAACGATTAGGATCATTTTAGACTTTGGAGGTTTTATATTCACGAAATCATTTATACATTTGCAGAGTTATATTCCGTTTTTTACCACTAACTATCTTCACTGATGATCCATTGAAAAGTTACATTTTTCAGATGACGCAATTTCATTTTTTTTGAAATGCAGGGGAGTTAGTGTAAGTTTAAGTTAAAGTTCGTGAGGTCGCAACCCTTGTCCCCGGCCGCAAGCTTGGGGCAACGGGTTTTCGCGTTGTATCTCGTTGTATCTACAGAAAATTTCATGAATTAATAATTATTGTAACAAATTGAATTGTCTACAACTTTGTTCCTATTCTAACTCCCGTTGTTCCGCAATCACCTCCGGTACTGAATTAGATCCTGAACCGCAGGCTGGACCATCAAAGAAAATGAAAAAGCAATAGTTGGAAAACAACTTTTCAAATATAATAATTATGCTTAGTATCATCTAGCCAAGAAATTGTCCGTGGATTAAACCTACTGGGAATCCTACGTAAAAAAAACGTGCCTCCAGACTCTACCTAATAGGTAGTGGGGGGAAAGGGTCGATAAAAAAGTAATAATAATATACGAGTGCTCATTTTTATCGTATTTTTACATGTTTTCAAAAACACGGTCAATTTAGGAGCGCTGTAAAATCCAGATGAATTAATAAAATCAAACCAATTTTCAGTGGAAATTATTCCCTAAGAAACCCTCTTAGATTGCTCCGATATCATTTCATTGTGAAATTACCAGAAAAGAAGTTATAATGCCCAAAAGATAATTGTATATTTTTGTTAATAATTTTTTTATTTTCCATCTAACGATAAGAAAATAATAGGAATAAAGTTGTAGACAATTTAATTTGCTACAAATTATGTCTCATAAACTTGAACTCAAGGCCTTAAGACCTAAAAAATGTAACATTTCAATAGTCTATAACGACTTATATGTTATATTTACATGATACATCTCTATTTTTTATCTGTATAAAAAAAATATATTTTTTGAACTTGAACTCAAGGCCTTGAGGCTTAAAAAAAGTAACATTTTAAAAGACTATAACAACTTATACTGTATATCAACATGATACATCTCTTTTTTTTATTGTTAGTGTATTCAGTTATCTCAACCACAGTGAGGTTAAATGGATTGGGCAAAGTTATGTTATATTATCCTAATTAATTTAATGGCTTCAGCTTCCTTTGTTGGTGATATATGACCATCTCTCTTACCGTCGTGTAATAAACACTTGCTTTACACAATACTACACTTCTCATTGATGCTTCTCCTAATTTTATGAATCGCTTGCACGTCTTCCGACGGCGGACATACACAACTGGTTAAACTATCACAACACAAATAATTATTGTTTGCTTGCACGTGCTATGGCGGCGTAACTGATCCGATACATAATAGTATATTGTGTAACAAGTGCGTGAAATCGACTTTTTTACACAAGCGTGGAATTTGCGACACGAGCCCTCAGGCGAGTATCGCAAACAACGCGAGTGTAAAAAAGTCTTCACGCACATGTTGCACACTATACTTTTTCTACGACCATACAGAGAAAATTAAGCACCATTAGTTTAAAGAGCTTTATTGAATTATAAAATTAACAATTAATTCTTATACTGAGATTATTATTTTTGGTTTTCATTCTGATGTGGAATAATAATGATTATTAATAGTAATATTGGAACCTGTGACCATTCCAAAACTTACACCTGCAGCATTTGATTTTTCTATTAGTGTGTTTCTTGACTTGGAAGTTGAGATGATAGAAGTAGTGGCGATAGGGGCTGAGGAAATTTAATTTTGAGGCGATAAAATTTTATTTGCCACATCAATTTTCTGAGTAATTGAGTTTTCTATATAATGCTCTGCCACTGCAGAGGATTTCCAACCTCCATGTTTTTTTAAGGTAAGCAAATCGCCTCCAGCTTCTACTAATAACGTGGCGGATGACCGCCTAAAACAGTGGCCTGTATATTGTTCAGCATGAGGTAAATTTAGGTATTTTGCGATTACCGAAGGAACTTTACCAATTTTATTTATACCAACGATCTGGCAGGTACATTTTTCACCTTGATAATTAATAAATAATTTTTTTTCTGCGTATTTTTGCGGACGGAGTGCCGTATATTTTCGGTATAATTCAAGATGTTCTGTGATGGTAAATTTTCTTGAGATTTTGGTTTTTGTATCATGGACGTTTACTATGAGTATTGTACCTAAATCTTCAATATCATCTAATTTCAGTTTATACAGTTCATCTCTTCTAAGAGCTCCAGCAAGTCCAAATATTAGTATAACCTAAAAGAAAAAAAAATACAATATAGAAACTAAAAAAAGATTATGACTGTCAGAAATCGAACACAGGTCCTTGGGCGCGCGAGGCCGACGCACCACCGCTGAACCATTCGTATTTACAAATATATGTGTGAAAACGCGATTCTCAACGCCCAATTTAAAATAATTTAGAAGATCATAGTTAGATATCACATTAACATAGTTTTAGATAATATATCTGATTCGGCCAACTATACTTATTAGGATCTACTTTATTTATAGATATTATTTTCTATTTATTTAATACTACCGTGAGACATTAAACTTACCTTGGTCAATAAAAATGTTTCGTCAGGAGCTTCTTGTATAAACTTCAGTATTTGTTCTTTCTCCAAAACTCTGGATTTTTTGGGAACGTATCCCTCACTCTTCCTTTTTAAAAAAGCACGTACCTTAGGATAGTCAATATTGATGTTTTTTTTAATGCTGATGGTACTTTTTAGCATTGAGAAATTACTCCAAAGTGTTGCTGCCTTAAAGTTCTTGGATAATTCTGACAAATATGCCAATATTACGTTTTCAGAAAATGAATTGATATTCTTTGTTTTCCTCCATGCCATGAATTTCTCATACGTATTTTCATAAACGCTCAATGATTTTTGGGGTAATAGAGTCTTACTAGCCTCATTGGCTGCATCCAAAACATCCGGCGGGGTACTTCGTATATCTGAATGATAAGAATCCATTATAATATAATGTTAAAATATTAATAATTAACTCTCAACAATGAGCTCACGACAATAATGATCAAGCTATTTTGACAGTTTATTTATGATTTATTGCTGCTCTTAAACAAAAGATGCACTAAGGCCGCCTATCAGCGAAATATTCATGTATTAGGTCTTATGGACAGACTACAATGTATTTATTATGAGTATATTTCACGCACTGGTAATAAAAACACTTGAATGTACCATGTTATTCTTATGGGTTTATTTCACGCCCTAGGGCGTAAAAATAATTTCACGCACAAGGGCGTGAAATTACATTTTACGATTCGTGAACGGTGTGTGAAAGTACTATTTCACGTACGGGAGTAGAAAAAATTTGTTATGCCTTGATGAGCAATATCATCGAATCACAATGTAGACATTCACAGAACATTCATTGTAGGCCAAAGAAGTCTTGAGAATACAATTAGAAGGGATGAAATCAATATCAAATTATTTTTCTTCACTATTCAAAAGTTTTATTTCAACTTGTTGACGTCTTGAAGATCTTCTAGAGCCAGAAATTCGTGGTTTCTCAATTGTAATTTGAGTTAAGCCCCTACTTATTCTTCATCTCATTTACTTTACTCGAGATTCATATTTGAAAACTTGAGCGAATTGTTATTGAACTTGTGTTTATTGTGTTTGTATATAAAATCGTCATTTTTGGTAAAGACAAGTGGAACATATTGTCCAATCTACTTTTGAACAATAAGCATGACAAATTAAAAGTAAAATGTATTCAAACCTCACTTACTAAATGTTCAAAATGTTCATCATCCACTTACTGGCAAAAGTGAAGTCTGTTTACAAATACAAATTCATTTCTCACATATGAAATGTTCCTGGGATAATTTTATTGCCTCATAAACATCTAGAGTTGTAATCAGGTAATCTAATGGGCCATTCCAAGGGACTACGTCTGCACACTTACTGAATTGCAAGAATTCAATGAGTGGTGTTTCAAAAACAGACTAATCGTTAATGTAAATAGGACAGTTTGTATTGAATTTGCATATTCTCCTCGGAGTCTACATAACTTCACTTTCAATTTTCTTAATGAATCTCTGGGATCAACAACCTATACAAAGTTTTTAGCAGCAATGATTGTACATAACTATAATACTAGGAAAAGCAATATGCTCACAACTCGAAAACATATCTATACAAAATATGAAAAGTCTCCTGTGTTTGTTGAAATGAGTATTTATAATAAATTGCTGAACAGTTTAAAGACACTGCCACCAATTGCCTTTGAACAAAAATTCAAATCATTTCTATCGACAAATGGTTTCTATACAGTGGGGGAATTTTTACTTGAAGTTGTAAATATTTATTATTTTTTACAATTTTTTATCTTATTTTATAATGTACTGACTGTTACTTTGTCTAATTGGCTAAGGCTAATGTTGATGTAAAGCAATAAAATGGAATAACGGGGTCTCTCAGTCAAAAAACAAAAATCAAACTCTGCTCTATACTTTGCCAAGCTTTCGCTTTTAATGGGAAGCTTCTTCATGGCCTATAATTTAATGAGTTGTGAATTTTTTTGCCATTGAATAACATTACAAATTATACTGTAAAATTGAGTGAAAAACAATAAATTGAACATATAAAAGTTAAACAAGTATAGGATTTTTTGTGGGTTTGACAAATGTCATACCTTCACATAAATGTCATGTCTCAATGGATATAATGATTTTATTAATATTGACTCTAAAAAAAAAGTTATTGATTGATACATTTTTCATTATTATTATGTTCCTGATGTAGTTCCAGTAAGTTACTGTATATACTGCTGAGATTATCAATGTCAGTGTTCTTATTCATACAATCAGAAGACTTATTAATTTCAACCATTTCAAAAAAAGGCGTTTGGAAATATTTTTTTGTATGTAAAACTTTGATATTAGAGTAATTTGGTTTATGTCCTGTTTCTATAGAATGTTGTGCTAATGCACATTATTTCTTATTGAGCTTTATATAGCTTTTATGTGAAGGGTTATTCTTTCATTAAGAATTCTAGATGTTGTTCCAATATAATTCAAGCTACAATTGTTACAAGGAATGTTATAAATCACATTTGGCTTTTTTGTAGTATCCGTTTTATCTTTCAATTTGGTATTAAAATTACTTTGAGGAAGTAGTGAAAAAAAGAAAGAAAATGTAAGTAATATGTATATAACTTTGTATTGGTCAACTCTAACAAATATTATTTTCGATATACTTTCATGATAAGTGTCAAAAAAACATATTATGTCTCTTCTGTAGTATCCGTTTTATCTTTCAATTTGGTATTAAAATTACTTTGAGGAAGTAGTGAAAAAAAGAAAGAAAATGTAAGTAATATGTATATAGCTTTGTATTGGTCAACTCTAACAAATATTTTTTTCGATATACTTTCATGATAAGTGTCAAAAAAACATATTATGTCTCTTCTGCATATGCTGTTTCAGATGTGTTTTTCTTTTTCCACGATATGGGCAATGAGGACATTTGAAAAACGGATCCTTTCCACATTCAAATTTTCGATGGTTGTAAAGGGATTGGTAGTGCTTGTATTTTTTATCGCATAGTCCACAGTAGAATAGTCCTGAAAAGAATGTATCTGAGTAATATTTGGTCTATTATTAACAGAAAAAATCATGTTTCATCCTTCTCCTCAGTCACTTCACCTAAAACTTCATTGTGGTTCAAAAGCAAGCCCTTCCTCAAATAGCAAAACTGCAATACTCTTCTCGAGGTAAACTACATCAACCAAGTTGGCGTCGAGAAGAGTATTTCAGTTTTACCTTTTATCTTTTATTTCATTGTGGTTGATTTTTATGGATAGTGATCAGTTTTGAAATTGATGGAAGGTGACATGCGATAATAACACTATATTTTTCGGAAACAAAGGTTTTGGCTTTCTAGTGTTCCACTTTTACATAAAAAATGTGGATGAGCCCCATATACTCCCTTCAATTTGAACACTATGTTATTGGGTTATGTAAATATTCCAAAGCTTTGTAAGGATCGTATGAAAGAAACCTCTTTACACAGGTCTCACAGGTAACATTTGTGATGTATTGTTTGGAACCTTCGGTGTAGTAATGAATATTACTGGAGTTTTATCACAACACCAAACCGTTATTTCAACACCTCGACACGTGTTTCGATCACCAAGTGATCATTTTCAAGAAGAATAAACTGGAAGAATAATATTCCTGTTGATGATCACTTGGTGATCGAAACACGTGTCGAGGTGTTGAAATTAATGGTTTGGTGTTCTTCAATAGAAAGATTAAACTAGAAGATTAATCTTCCTCTTGATCGAAACACGTGTCGAGGTTTTAAAATAACGGTTTGATGTTGGTGTTGTTAAATATTTTAATCTTCCTCTTGAAGATGATCACTTGGTGATCGAAACACATGTCGAGATGTTAAAAATAACGGTTTGATGTTCTTCAAGAGAAAGATTAAACTGGAAGATTAATCTTCCTCTTGATGATCACTTGGTGATCGAAACACGTGTCGAGGTGTTGAAATAACGGTTTGATGTTGGTGTTGTTAAATATTTTGATCTTCCTCTTGAAGATGATCACTTTGTGATTGAAACAAGTGTCGGGGTGATGAAAATAACGGTTTGGTGTTGGGATAAAACTTTAATAATTTTCAATATTTCTCACAGGTAACAGTAGATGATTTTGTAGTAACATCCATGAAAATAATTTCATATCAGGTTCATTTTATTGTATTTAAGTTTCCACCCATGAGCGTCCGCAACTTTGGTTCAGTGGAGAGGGGGGGGAGCAGGTACACTTCAAATTACATACATAAGAACTGAAAATTGGGCAATGCTACATGTCTGACAAAAGTTTCTATTTCAAATTGCAATCGTCTTCTTAGATAAACACGTAGGATGGGAACAAATCCATATAAACTTTGCAATTACATCAATACAGTTTATTTAATTCACAAAAAAATTAATTGATTTGTAAAAAAGTGGCTTACTGGTAAAGTAATAGTTTTCTAGGGTTCAGTAGAATTCTTTCTGAACTTCTTAAACGAAAGCCTTCTTGCACTATGTATTTTCTGTTCATGCTCATTAGCTGTATTTCGGCCCCTTGTTGACCTGGGCGAGATTTTCATTCTAGGCAAGGTAGAAAAAGACCGTTTAATCGTGCAGGTAATACATGTTGAAGTAATGAGAATCTGAAAGACATTTTTGATAACGGGGTAAAACATGTCACAATCTGCAAATGAGTCGGCTACTTCAATTTCATGAACTGCTGATGCTGCCTCGTCTTCCCAGAGTTTCAACCACAGATCTAGTTCAGGATCAATTTCTGTAAGCTCAGAAACATCTACCGATGCGTTCAGTTTTACCATATCCAGTTCATTTTTCAAGAAATATGTAGTATGTACTTAGAGACGATATTATTGAATCCAGATACGAGATCACCAGTAGTCAGAAGAACTCTTTATAGGTGGATCACTGCGATGTTGTAGCCTGAAAACGACTCGCAGGATTGTCAGTTCCACACCCAGTTCCTCTGCAATTTCAATCGCTTCCAGCTGTATTGTTCCAGTTGAATTTTCCTTTTCGTCTTTGTGGGATTGAAATGTGTCAACTTTTCCTTAGTTATATTGCGATACTCACAATATCTGTTATATTTGGTTCGATTGAAGTTTATTCACCAACGCCAACGAATATTTTGCCAACAATAAACACTGGCTTGTAAGCAGTGTTTATTGTTGGCTGATAAGCCAGTTTTCTAGTGGAAAAGTGACAACGTTTCCAAAGCTTTCTCATTTCAGCACTTTGGAGTTTCAATATTGAACTAATTTGTTCCATGAGAACTTAATGTCTGATCTTGAAAATTCTGGTCATACTTCTCATACAGTATTCTTTGAAAAAAATATGACAATTTAAGAACCTTTTTCGTTTAGTGACGTCAGAAGTTGGACGAGAAATATGCAGCAGGCTTTATGACTATGGAGTTATTTTGTAATTTGACAGAAACAAAATTTTTTTAATCTCTGCTTACCAATCAAAGACATATATTCTTCTGGTCGCACAATCAATATTGATATGCACGAGAGAGTTTTTATATTTATAGCAAGTACCGGCTTTTCCTCAAGATTCGGATTTTTACCCTGGTTTGACTTAGGTGAGACGACCTCGTACTGAGTCCAGCTGGTCGTAAGCAAAAAATAAGACCCTGTTTGTGCTTTCAAGATGAATAGGAACAATTTGATTCGATATTCACGGAACAGATAAAAAGGGTAAATTCTTCAACTAGGGAATATTTGTAATTACTCATTATACTGACTTGAAATGAGTAATGAAAAATCAATATTTTACATGGGAGTATTCACAAGTTCTGATCAGAACTCCTGGAAAGTCGAAGATGTTGATGTGTTGCCAAATATGAATATTTGCATGTATTGCATACATTCAAATTTGGAAAGGGTCAGTAATCTTAAGTGTCTAAGTAATGTTTGAATTTGTATGGGTTTTATATTTCCCTCAACTTGACAATGATGGATCAGAATTTCATTGTTGTGAGATAATCGGAGATACTTTGGAAACGTTTCAATTATCAACTATTCGAGTTTGAAATGAATGAAATTTTGTAATTTTGCTGTTTAGGAACTATTTACGTTTCTACAACTGTGGTTATAGTCTGAGATTCGATCTTCACCGGTCTGTTAAATGGATAAAAATTATTTTATAGGTAATTTACTATGTTAAAAATTACAGAAAACAAGGGGTGCCCCTTATAATATTGTACGGACTATAATTATTTAATAATTGAAAATGATTTTATTAAATTAATTCTACTAATGAGTTCAATAAAAACATTTAACACTAACAGTATGTATAAAGCCTAGAGAATATGCAAAAGTGAAGGTGCCTATTTTTATCCTGTCCAAACTATTGAGCAGCCATAATGATAATTTCTAACAGTTTATTTGTTCAACAAAAAAACGGTAACTTGTGTGTTTTATATTTATTTAAAAATTTAAGTGTGTAGAAAATTACAAAAAAATACACGTGGAATACTATAAATATTATTACTATTGCACAAAAAATGTGGATGAATAAAATATTACGTACTTACTACTGTATTCTCTTCACAAAAGTTTTAAAATTCTTCATGATATTTCATTTTTGAAACATTGACTGTTTGGCAACCAAAAAATTGCGCTACTCTTTAGTAAGCTCAACATCACTGTATATAAAGTTCGTTTCTTTTCGAAAAGCTAATTTTAATAAACAGTGATTGAAAGATTGATCATTAGAATCTAACACAAGATTAGCGGAGTCACATAACAAACACTTTTTAGCCATTTTTGTTAAAGTACTTACGAACACGTGTTGTCAATATCAACAGAATATTTTAGGTTACTAAATGTCCAAAATATTGCTGTTTACAAGTCTGTAGCTGTCATTCTCTATTGTATGAAATGCAAACATGCGCACTCTCTCATTTCCTGTAGCTACACCGCGCGCAGCTACAATCCTGTGTCTTTGTCTATCGAACATTACAACTGGCGACGAGGATAATTGGAATTAGATGAACTTACAGAAATTTTCGTGTTATTTTTGAGAAGAAAAAGTGGTACAGTTTTTATGATCAACATGTCAATGGGTATTCAGTTAGAATTTAATCCTGAAATAAATGAGTGGTCAGTGCATTTCAAACGTTTAAATCAGTTTTTCATCGCAAATTGAATAATTTCTGATAATGTTAAACGGGCGATTCTATTGAATAGTTCAAATCAAGAGGCATACAAGTTACTTCAAATATTATGTGTTCCGCAAGCACCAGAAAATTGTGAACTGAAAGTACTGCAAGAAAAACTAGACGGGTACTTTATTAAAAAGAGTGTTGTTTTTGTTGAGCGGTATACTTTTTATGGTGCAACACAATTTAAATCAGAAAAAAACACCTTTGAAACCATGGCCAATCCCCAACGGGTTATGGCAACGCATTCACATGGATTTTATTGGTCCATTAAAACAAAAAATGTTTTCAGTAGTAACTGACGCGTTTTCGAAGTGGCTGGAAGTGTTTCTCATGAATTCAGTCACTACGACATCTACAATTGTAAAGTTAAGGAAATTGTTTAGTCGATTTGGTTTACCTTCTATGTTAGTGTCTGATAATGGCCCTCAGCTAATTTCAGAAGAATTTCAACTGTTTATGAAAAGTAATGGAATAAATCATGTTACTATCCCAGCGTATGATCCTGCTTGTAATGGAGCTGCGGAGAACTCAGTGAAGACAGTTAAGGAATTTTTACTCAAAGAAATTTCTGATAATCAGCTGAAAAATATCGATTTATTGTTGTGTCAATTTCTGTTAACTTATCGAAACACTCCTCACTGTTCATCTGGTGAAACACCAGCAAAAATATTTTTGGAAAGACCTTTGAGAACTCGTTTGGATCTTATCATGCCAAAACAAAACAAGCAAATTGTTAAGAGCAATAAAGAGGTCAGAAACAATGTGATGAAAGCGCAAGAATCTAACAAACGATATTTAAGGAGGAGGCGTAACGATAATTTTATAATTGGACAAATTGTCTATGCTAGGGATTACAGAGGCTCTAAACCTTCTTGATGCAAGACTGTAATTGAAAAATTTTTAGGTAAAATCGTTTGTTTGGTGACTGAACACAAAATTGGTGTAGTCTGGAAAAGACATTTCTGTTGTGATGATGACTTTACGTTGAATACTAATTATTTTTCTAATGAAAATACAGACGCAGACTTACATAGCACCGTGCACATAACCGAGGACTCCAATGAAATGGAAGCGGTTAACGATTCATTGGATAATTCGAAGTCAAATGAAACTAATATTCATCCGAATACTATAATCCAAGGTCAAACAAATTCTCCAGTGAATCGGCTAAAAAGAATTAGAAATGCACCAGATAGATTTAAGTATTAGGTATCTAATAAGAGGGGGAGTGTGTAATGTATTGAAACTATTAATTACCTCTTGCAAATTCTCTATCTACGCCTATGTTTAATTTATATTTTTTATAGTTTTTGAGGAATTTATATTTTATGTTTTACTTTACTACCAGAGAATTTTCATTCCATGACGGAATCCAGTCTATTTGTATATAGTGCGTAATATAGGGGTGCAATGACAATCAGTGTTTCAATGTCCCTTTTGAACATTACAATTACTATTTCTTCTTCGACTATCATTATCTAATTTAAATAAATAAGTATGAATTTGACTGAGATTATTTAAGTTAGTTTTTTTATTCATGGATTCCAATTCTTTATTTATGTGTATCATTTCTAGAAAAAAACGTTTGAGGGGATTTTGTTCAATTTCTAAAATTCTAGCATTAGTATCATTCTGATCATTCCCATATTGATTTCAATTTAAGAGTCACCGGTAGACAGCTGTTTCAGCCTATTGGAAATCGTCAGTACCGGGCAGGCGGTCTTCTATTGAAGACAAAATGTGACCTGCACGTCGTCTTGATTTCAATCAGGTTGAAGCCTGGCTCCCTTACCCTTTGAACTGATGTTTGCCAGAAGGACAAACGGGTCATAACTGATGGTGGGTGTTGATGGTATGGCGGCATGAATGTCCTCAGACATAAGTACCGCCCTTCACGGTGTACCCCTACCTGGCTGGGGTGAGTTGGATGAGGAAGTTGTTCATCATCTTTTAACGAAAGATGGACAAAATGTGAGAAACCAAGAATAGTACTTAATGAAAATAACTGCGTTGGTGGTTTGACCAATCAACCGACAACTGCGGTGACAGAAATTTGTCAAACCACCAACACTGACATAAAAACTTGGCAAGTTGACTTGAGTGTCACACCAATAGGTGGTTCCACTTATGTCTCGCTTGCGTTTACGCAGTTATTTTTATTAAGTACTTTTCTTGGTTTTTCATATTTTGTGAGCCTTTTGAGCATCATCAACAGCTCCTTAGCCCTAAGATACTTCCCCAGAAGGTGGAAACATGCGGTCGTCGTCATGCTCCCAAAACAGGGGCAGAACCGGCTTTTCCCGCAAAATTATCGCCCGATTAGTCTACTCTCGTCGGCGGCTAAGCTGGCTGAAAGAGTCGTACTCCAAAGGCTCAACGAAGAAGTTGAGGACCGAAATGTTCTGCCTGATGAGCAATTCGGCTTCAGGAGGGAGCATTCCACTGAGTTGCAGGCTCTGAGACTGGTCGAAAACACCATCGCGGAGTTGAACAGGAACAAAAAAGTCCATTTAGTTCTATTAGATATTTCGAAGGCCTTCGACCGCGTCTGGCATGAAGGCCTTCTTCACAAACTAATCGCATTCGACCTGCCTCGGGGCCTGATCCGGTGGATTGGGTCTTTCCTGAGAGGCAGAACATTTCAGGTTAGAGTAGAGGGCTCTCTGTCTGACAACAGAGAGATCCTCGCTGGAGTGCCACAGGGGGCCGTGCTCTCTCCCACGCTATATTCTCTTTACACCAGCGACCTTCCGAGGTCCGAGCATGTGAAGGTATCCCTCTACGCCGATGACACGGCTCTCCTCTCATCTTCCATGGGTCGGGAGCTCGGGATCGTCTATATGCAACGTGCATTGGGCGACCTCGAGCGCTGGTACCTCGAGTGGAAGATCCGAGTGAATCCGGATAAAACTCAGGCAATAACCATGGGAAGAACGATAGCTTCTCCGGCCATGAAAGTGAGAATCTCTGGAAGGGAGATTGATTGGCAAGCGCGTGTCAAGTACCTAGGTCTTATTATAGACCGTAGGCTCACCTGGAACCCGCACCTGTTAAGCGTGAAGGCAAAGATCCAGGGTCGGGTGGCAAGCCTGTACCCTTTGATCAATAGAAGATCTAAGCTGAGCCTAAAGAACAAAATCACGATCTATAACATGATGTTCAAGTCTGTCATCATGTATGCTTCAGGCGTTTGGGGACAAGCGGCTCCGACTAACATCTCCATTTTGGAGACTTTACAAAATAAAATTTTACGGATGATTGTGAATGCTCCGTGGTTCGTGCGGAATGAAGCCATCCGCAGAGATTTGAAGCTGCCTTCCATTCAGCAGTCCATTCAGTCGAGGAATCGGCGAGTTTTAGATTATGCTGAAACTCACGAAAATCCTTTAGTCAGGGAAGTTATAGATTACGCTGTAGACGACCCCTCCCGATATAGAAGGCTCCGACACTCTGTCGTATGAGGCCCCTATGTCCTCCGTTAACAGATGAATAATATCTTCATCTATCTCACCCCAGCCAGGTAGGGGTATAACGCGAAGGGCGGTATGGATGTCTAAGGACNCTGATCGAAAATACATTACAATGATATTCTCCATTACACATGGATGGGTTTTGGAACACGAAACTACGGACGAAAATTAATCAACCAAGAGTAACAACATCTTATTTATACGCTGATTTGGAACATTTTGGCTATCGTGACAGGACGTGGAAAACGTTGATAAACTGAGAAACCAAATGACACATTTTTTGAAACTTTGTCAAGAAATTGATAAAGCTGCTTTAGAGAAATATGACCATACTACCGTTCAAGTCTTGTTACAAGAAATGGAATAAGTGAGTTCGAGACTATTTGAAATTGATAACAATGTCGAGAACTTACTTGTTTCATGTTAATGATAATTACAATCGGAAAACGTCAAAATGACATATGAATATATTGTGAATGCTCTGACCCGTTACTTGATGAAAATTAATGACACTATACACGATAATTATTACAGAAATTTCCCAATGAATTTTAAAAGTCGTTTCGCAATACGGTAGCTTCATCAGTTACTGGTACATACCTGTAGTACATACCAGTACTACCCTACCAGTACCTGAGGAAGCTACCGTGTAGCAAAATGCGTTTTAAATAGAATTTATTATGAAAATTCTATCTTTTCAGAGATGAATATATGTATATGAAATACGAATACAATATAGATAAATCAAACCACGAATACAATCCCATATGTATGACATATTATATGAAGAATTTTTAAAAAATACGGTGAATGTTCAAATTTCGTGATTTAACGATTTCTTTTATTTTTTATGTGATACACTCGTCACGAACATTCATTTTCTTAATCTCCCCCCTTTATTTTTTAAACGGGTTGATTCAAAAAATTGAAAATTGGGATGGCGACTGAGCGCCATCTATGAAA